GGGCACAGCGGGGACGCGGCAGGGGAGGGTGAGGGGGGCTGAGGTGGGAGCGGGGATGGGACTCGGGGGACACTGGGGATAGAATCCGAATCATCAGGGGTGGAGGAGACCTCTGAGATCATCAGGTCCAAACATTAACCTGTCACTGCTGGAACCCCTAAACCATATTCTCCAGGTCCAGATGCCTCTTAAACACTTCCAGGGATGGTGACTCCACCACCTCCCTGGGCAAACCTATTACAGTGCGTTCCAGGGATGGTGACTCCACCACCTCCCTGGGCAAACCTATTCCAGTGCCTGCACACCCTAACAGGGAAGACATTTTTCTAATATCTAATCTGAATCTCAATTAATGGTACAGTTTTCAAGTATAAATATCACATATGTATACACATATATATTTACACACACACATATGTAATATTTTTCTGACTCTAGGAAAACACCAGCTCTATACATATATATGCACACATATAGAGAATTGTAGAATAGACTCATAGAACCATCAAAGTTGGAGGAGACCTCTAAGGTTATCGAGTCCAACCTGTCACTGCTTTAACCCTTAAACAATATCCTCCAGCACCAAATCCAGACACCTCTTAAACACCTCCAGGAATGGTGACTCCACCACCTTCCTGGGTAGTATCCCAGTGCCTGAACACCCTAACAGGGGTGGTGGATGAGGTGGTGTCAGGTGGGAGAGATTGTGGGTTGGGCAGAGGATGGTAGGGAAGAGGAGGGGAAAGAACCTTAGGGTGGGACAGGGACCACGAGTTGGTCCACAGATCAGGATCAAAGCGGGGGCAGAGACTATGGAGATTGGTGAGAAGGTTTGGGACAGAAAAAAGGGAGCTGGGTTGGGAGTTGAAGGTAAGGTCAGGGAAGGGGGACTGGGGACCAAGGAGGGGATGGGAGGTGGAGGGGCAGGTGCTGTGGAAGGGCACAGCGAGGCATGGAGGTGACCCAGCCCTTGCCTCTGCCTTGCTCTGCCTTTGGGAGGTTGTTAACACCTTGTTCTCCCCAGAGAGCCTAGCGAGGACTCGCTGGTGTCCCGGCTGGAGGTGGTGACGCTGCCCTCCCGCCTGCCAGGGGAGCTGCCCGTGAGGAGCTGTGCCCGGGAGCTGCAGCTGCCTGTTCACGAGTGGCCACACACGGGGCCTGCAGGGCACTTTGATGTGGGTGTGGTGGCATCTTTCGGTCGTCTCCTGAGCGAGGACCTGATTCTGCAGTTCCCATAGTGAGTGAGTGGACAGGACGTCTGTCACTGCTGTGTTGGCAAAGCTGAGCTCTGGTTTTGAGTTAGCACCTGTGACTTGTAGCAGGTGAAGTCAACTTCCCTGGGTTCATCAGCTTAGCCTGAGCCCTACTTCTGCTGTTGTGAGATAAAAATCACAGAATCATAAAAGTTGGAAGAAACCTATAAGATCATCAAGTCCAACCATTAACTTGTCACTCTACTGTAAACCCTAAACCATATCCTCCAGCTCCAAATCCAGATGCCTGTTAAACACTTCTAGGGATGGTGACTTCACCTCTTCCCTGGGCAATGTTCCAGTGCCTGAACACCCTAACAGGGAAAAAATGTTTCCTGATACCCAGTCTGAATCTCCCCTGTCTCAGCTTGTGGCCATGAAGGTTCACTGTCCTTTGACACATTGATGTAAATTTATGCAAGATACCCAGTCTGAATCTCCCCTGTCTCAGCTTGTGGCCATGAAGGTTCACTGTCCTTTGACACATTGATGTAAATTTATGCAAGTCATAGAACTTTAGGGGTTGGAATGGACCTTAGAGATCATCCAATCCCACCCTTCTGCTCTGGGCAGGGACACCTCCCACCAGAGCAGGTTGCTCAGGGCTTTATCCAGCACTGCCAGGGTTGGGGCAGGCACAGACTCCCAACCTGTGCCAGTGTCTCACCACCCTCACAGGGAAAACTTCTTCCTAATCTCTAACCTAAATGTTCTAACCAAATTTCAGCAGAATGTGTTTACCTTTATTCCTCTCATTTCTCTCTCTGTGTTCACTGAGAACTTGGAATTTATATAGTGTCAATTTTCCTTTAAGTATATATTTAAGCCAGTAACCCTTCAGAAGGTCTGAGCAGAGAGTAGTTTCCCTGTAACACATGTTGCACATCCATTTACACATGCTTCAGGTACTGTTCCTGTTCTAACCTGGAAATGCTTCGTTTCAGTGGTGTGCTGAACATCCATCCCAGCTGTCTCCCACGCTGGCGTGGTCCTGCACCCATAGTCCACACAGTGCTCCATGGGGACAAGGTGGCTGGAGTGACAATCATGGAAATAAGACCAAAAAGGTAAGTTAGATGTCCTTCCCCAAACAACCCACTGTTGCTGTTGCCTCTCAGGACTTTAAATCATCCCTGCTTAAGTCATCGTTTAACTCATTCTTTGTAATCACTTTTTTGTGTCTGTGTGTGTATTTATTGTTAAAATTTGAAACAGAAACTTTTATCTGACCACATGAAATTTGCCACAAGTACAGATATTAGTGAGTGCCTGATTTGCACCCTAAACTCTAGACCTGTTCTTCAGTTCCTGGTGTTATTACGGGGAATGGGACAGGTGGATAGGCTTGGTGTGACAGGACAGGAAAGATCTCTTTTTCAGACTTCAGAATTACCTGCAACCTCCTGTAATGAACAGTGGAGAAGCAATTGCTTGTCTAGGCATGAGAGAGATTATATGTTTTAGTTTCAGCCCAAAATCTGACTTCAAAGGCTCATAAAAACACATTATCATAGTTATCTTCACTTTCTCAGATGCTTGTCTGATTATAGATCTCAGGAAACTGCAAAACAAATTTCCTCTGAATACTTCAGGTAATTTCTTCTGAGATCTCATGTTCTGAACTGTAAATTGTGTGTTCCTATCAATCTCAGCCTGCTGAGGTGGATCTTGCTTGCTGAGATAGATCTGACATTGTTTCCCCTATTAGAGGGAGAAAAGGCCAGTTACTAATGGAGTTCATGTATTGAATGCAGACTTTTGAACTGCTCATTTAGTTTTAGCTTCTCCAGTAAACTTGCATATTTTCTGCCTTGCAGGTTTGATGTAGGTCCAATTATTAAGCAAGAAGAGTTTGCTGTTCCTCCCTGCTGTACTGCACAGGAGCTGGAAGGGATGTTAGCAAAGATAGGTGCAGACATGGTAAGTTCTGTGTCACTTCTGATTAGCACTTTGCTTTTAACATGTGCAAACAGAGTTCTTGTTCTGAGCTGACAGACTTTAAGAGGAGAATGATCTGAAACTTGGTATTTGTGAGCACTTTGCCTTGCTCAGCGGACAGCTCAGTGGTCTGTGATTAGCTGTCAGTCCCATGTGTTGTTGTTCTGCTTCTATTCAGTGAAGAACACGAGTGCTGTGTATGGAAACAGTGCAGGTTCTTCTTTCATTGAAGTGAATATCTGCCTTTTCATCTTAATAATTAGCTTTTGTTTTGTTCTGGGATTAGTATCAGAGAGCTCATCCATGAAAGAATACTTCAGGATGTTTTTAATTATGATTCAGTGGGAAAGATGTCTTTAGTGTGTTTGTGTGTATGATCCAAGTCTTTGTACATACTGACTCAGTTTTCTAAAACCCCACAGTGAAGAATTAAGTATTGTATTTGCTGTTAACAAATATTCTTTCCTTAGCTTGGCTAATATATGCAAACTTTAATTTTGCAGCTGTTAGCAGTTTTGAAAAACTTGCCTGAAAGTTTAAAAAATAAAAAAGAGCAGCCAAAAGAAGGAGTGACATTTGGTAGGTACACATCCTGTTTAATGCAGCTTGTTCATTTCTTCTGTTAGCAGCTGGAAAACTTAAGTTTCCTGCTCTGCTGGGTTGTATTTTTTTTTAGATTCCTTTCTCAGTATGGTCTCTTCATTGCCTTCTGTGGCTTAAAAAGTCATACAGAAGGGAAAAATGCTTTAGAAATCTTCAGTCTTAGTACTTTTTTCCCCCCTCATTGCTCGTACAATATCAAAATCACTAGCTATGTCACAAAATCCGAGTGGGTTTGTTATTCTTCATGGCTATGATGCAGACAAAAGAGTTAGCTGTGCTTGTAAGTATGTTATCAGTTTGCAGTGCAATGGGTAAATAAGAGAACAACTGAGAATAAAGTATAAATAATCCAAATTGAGGTTTTTACAGAGTCTTGGCTCCAGTTGTTGTCCGAGGCACGCACGGCTGGAGGGTAAACGGAGGTTTAAAATAAGACAAAGTCATACAGCTGTTTGCAAAAAGATGCAAACCAAAATATCAAGTCTACTAATTTCTTTTTTTTCCCCATAGCTCCTAAAATCTCTATAGCAAAGAGCTACATAAACTGGGAAGAGCAAACAGCTGCACAAGTGATTCAGCTGCATCGTGCGATAGGAAGCATGGTAAGACTGGGGTTTTTTGAACCCTCGTGTCCCCTGGCGTGGCTGAGCTTGGTGTAGATGTTTCAACTAATGGCTGAAACTGAAGTTTAGTTATTTCAGCCTCTTCTAGTTTTCAAATACTGGTATGATTTGGCATTAGAGGTGGAATTATTGTGGAGGATAATTTTCATGCACTTGATCCCAAGTGTGAAATCAGCTCAATGGTTATATATTGTTTCCTTAGCTCTGAGACTCCCTTGATGTGTTTGGGAGGGTTTGGAACACACAGTGACATCTCTGCCTGACAGTAAACCGTGGAAAGAGCTACAGTGAAGAGCTAATAGCTTATTGCTTAAGTCATTACTGCATATGCTAGTGGTTTGAGATGGGGAAGGGCAAGGAAAACTAGCTAGTAAGGAAAGTCTCTTATCTAGACATATATCTAAATTTCCCCCCTCATGTTACTATCACAGATATCTTGCATAAGAAAAAAACATAGAGAATAGCCTGGAGATCATGAAAATATTCTCAGCATGTCACCTGCTTCTGTTTCCAGTTTCCTTTGCAGACACTCTGGAAAGGCACTACTGTTAAACTTCTGGATTTTGTGGAAGTGGATAATATCCCTGGTCTTGCTGGTATTTACTTTTAAATAATCTGTTAAGTCTTTAAAGTTAAATTAGTCAGGAGATCCTCATCTGATGCTGTTGCCTGGGGATCTTACAAGGAAGCTGTCCCTGTGTATTGTCACTTGAACTGTTTTCTGTAGGAGTCAGGGCTGGGTGGGCTGAGGGATGTGCCAGAGCACACAGGATTAGTGAGTGTTCAATAGATCAGATATGGGTTAGTGCCAGAGAGTGACTGTTCTGATTCTTCCTGCTCATTTGGTTATAATAAAACACAGAATACCATGAAATAGTTTGTGAGCAAAACAGCGACTCAAGATGCTTATCATGCCTCAAAGAGACACAAGGGTTTCAAACTTCTTCTGTACTTGTTGGCATGAAAACACAAGACAATCTTGCTTTGCTTTTAGATCAAACACTGAATGACTGTGGAGCTGTTCCTGGTTCTCTGCTGTTCCATAAAGTGTCCCAAACACTGATAGCTCGCTGCAAGGTAGGTTTTCCCCATTTCTTTTATATCCACTGCCCTAAAGATGAGGTTTTTAGTATTTGTGTGTTGCATAACTGTTGTATTAATTCTCCATTGTCACTCTCTGTACTAGTTTAGATTAGCACCTGGCTTTGTATTTGTTATCTTAACCTTTCAATTTCCACTAACAGGCTTTGCACTTGCAAGCAGCAATGCAACTTGTAAACACGGTGGCATCAAATAAAATAGATTTTAAGCCAGTCTGTGAGAGCTAAAGGTAATTCTACAACATGGAAGAAGCTTACTGCCATTTTTGTTTGTTTTCATTTCTAGGAAGGCTGGGTTGGAATCAGAACAGTTCTATTAAAGAAGAAGCTTACAGCAGTTGACTTCTACAATGGATATATGCACTGTTGGTTCCAGCAGAATCCAAGAACGGTTCACCAGGAATGCAGATTTCAGACACTCAAACTTAGCACATCAAAAAAGACTGAAAGAGAAGGGAATGTTGGCACAGGATATAAAACAATAAATGTACTTTAGAATGTGGAAGATGTCTGTAAGTTAATAGTAATATGAAGTATTTCAAAGCCACCTATAACATTCAACTTAATTTAGGGGTTTCCTCCCAAAGTGTTGGATCTTATTCTCATCTGTGTGTTTTCATCCTGGGTTCCTGATGATACTCCTTCTCCTCCCCCATCAGGGAAGAGAATCAGTGAATGCTGAAGATGGTGAATACATCCCTCTTTCCACGGCTGAGAAATAAATTTATTTTTATACGTTGTTTTTCAATTTCTTTTTGAGGGCTTTTGGTATAATTTGCTTCAGGCAAAAGAAGTTGTACACGGTTACTTCAGTCTTGGAAATACTAAAATCCTGTGCTTTTTGAGTCAGAGTTTAGTGCTCACTGAGGCTTAGACTGTCTAGTTTGATCTTCTTGTGAACCCTAAAATTCCCTTTGTGCTCCCACATTGAGATGAATAACTTAGGTGGGAGCATCTAGGGAATCTTTTCCTGTCCATGATAATTTTCTTCCTTCCCCTCTGTTTTCATATCCTAAGATACATCCCATTTAATATTTGTGTGCCATCCATCCAGAACATTTACATTCTACTATTAGACTTCCTCTCTGACGCAAGAAGTTTTTAGCTGGTGAGGAGTTGTTAATCTAGTCCAAGCTTTTCCTCAACCTGCATTTGATTAATGGCTTGTGCAAAGAGTATTTCATGTGAAGAAGCCCAAAACTGCTGATTCTTGAACTTTCTTGTTTTAGAAGTAATGTAGCACTGTGAAGGTAACAGAGACTGGCTGCTGCTTAGGAGCTGCTCTAGTGTTAACTCGCTCAACATTTTCATGCTCTTTCTGAGTTCTACTGAAGTAAAACCAAAAAAATGTAAAAAAATGCATTATATCACAAGGATGAAAACATTTTGGAAGAAGCATCTGTTAAAGCAGATGCAGTATTTGTCTTTAATTGCCATTGGTCCAACAATTAATCTGCCTCTGACAGCTTTTCCAAAACACATGTTCCTCCAAGAAATCCAAGCCTATGAATCAGAGTCAGGAACTGGAAACAACAGCAAGGTGGAAGTCAAGCTCCTGTGGAGAATTCCTGCCTCTGACCGCAGACTCGGTGCTGTTTGTGCTGCACAAGTTCTAAATCCAGCAAGTTTGTTTCCAAGCAAATGATGTATTGTCATGTTTTGCTCCAACCTACTCCTTGCAAGTGATTATTATGAAGTCGTTTTGCTTTTACGCTGTTCAGATCAATCTACAAGGGCTAGTTATCACCTTATGCCAATAACAAGGGCTGCTGGGTGTGTAGGTGTGTTTGTAGTGTGGTTTTAGGGATGATGGATAAGTTTGGGGGGGTTTTGGGTTTTCCTACATCACTGGTCTCAACTGCATGGCTGCTTGCCTTGTGGTTTTTTCTGCTGGAGCTTCTGGGAATTTTTCATCAGCTCCTTTTACAGAACACTCATAGGCATCACTGGAATTCAAATATTCAATATTAGATGAGGACAAAGACATTTCCTCTAAAGCCCCTTCACAGACAGGGAGGTTTGTGTAGTAGAAGTGGAATTAGCAGAGAAATGAGTAAAAAAAAATCCCACCCAAAAACTCACCACCACAATTTAGAGATTTTGACTCAAGCTCTACCCGGGGAGGTTTACGTTGGATTTTTTACGGTGAGAGTGCTCAGGCATTGGAATGTGCTGCCCAGGGAGGTGGTGGATTCCCCATCCCTGGAGGTTTTCAAGCTGAGGCTGGATGTGGCACTTAGTGCCATGGTCTAGTAACCACAGTAGGGTTGGACTTGATGATCTTGGAGGTCTCTTCCAACCTGGTCAATTCTATGATTCTAGGATAATTTTAAGCACTAATGATAAAGAATTTTGGAGTTTTCAGTTAGCTGGGACCCAACAATTTCCTGATGTCTCAGGTCCCCAGGCACTAGCAAATGAATTGTGGTTCATTATGCCCTGAGTAAAATGAACAGTGCGATGTGACTCTCACAGAAAGAATACAGCGTCAGCAGCTCAGGCAAAAGTATCCAGGATAAAAGTTTTTATATAACAAATCAACTGCTTTGTTCCTAGGAATGACTTGAGGAAAATTCTGTTCAAGTTTGTTAACTCCTTTGTGTATCTTTCGTTGTCAGATTGTGCCTCGTGTAAGACCTATTGATGTCAGTCCATGCTGGCAGGTGGCAATTCCAGTTCTCACTAAAGTACGGAGCAACGGGGAAGAGTTTCCCTGCGTTTTCAGAAGTTCGCGGTGGCATGTGCCCGGGATCCCTGTAGATGGAGCTCGCTGCACCTCTTTTGGGTGAAAACCAAAGTCAGCTGGACAGAAGATGGTGAAAATCTGGTACAGAACATCTTGTTAGCTGTTTAATACCGAATAATGTCTAAACCATATTGTATCCAGGATACCTGTGCTTGTAACTTTTAATCTTTTGATCTGTGCAAAATTGCTTTGAGGCTTCTGCTTTCCACACAAGAGGTTATAAGAGATTAGACAGTTCTGTGTTGCTCACAGTTAATGTTCTAGCTCTGAATATGCAACTTTACCTCAGTTGTTTTATGGAGCAGAAGAGGGTAAGATTAATCTATTTTTGCATGGAGGAAATCTTTGGCATGCTATTTTTGGCATGCTAGAGAAGCTTTAAAGGGAATTGGTGTTCCCCAGGCAGCTGTTGGCCAAAATGCCTCTTTGGAAACTTTGCTTTCACCTAGCCCTGCAGGGATTGAACTCAGTAGGTAATGAAAATCTGATTATTTTTGCAGAACAGACAAAACAAAATTGGGGCATTCACTGATGAGGTGTGGAATAGCATGTCAGGGTTGACTCTGGAACATAGACACGATGATTCAATCCCCAGTACCTCTGCTGAGATTGAGTACAGCCACCTTGGAAAGGGATCCTAGCAAAATAAAACAGCTGTTCTCCTCTCAGAGGAGAGAGGGAAAGTAGCAGAGGTAGTCACAGACCCAACATCCGCTTCGGCTCAGTTTAACATCACTGAGGCCAAATCAGTGGTAGAACTGCAAAATGTTTGGGCACCAGAAGGGCTCTGGTGTTGGATAGGGATGACTTCATCATGGATTTCAAACAAATGTTAGAGGGAGTGATATTTCCTAGGATGCTGGTGACTCGCAGTTAGATGCATCTGTTTCATGATCCACAGCCTTACTACTCCCCCTGCTTCCTAGGAAACATCTCTATTCCTGTTTTCTGCTGAGTAAATTACAAATAAACAAAAACTGTAAGTGACTAATCAAAGGAATATTTGAGTCTTTTTATAAAGTTGCTTGCAAAATCCCCAAATAATTTGAAGGCTGAGACTAGACAAGAATATCTCTCCTTTTGTTTATCCTAGCTGCTGACGTCCTAATAGCTTCTGGGAATTTTCCCTTTCTTAAAAACAGGAGAAGGGATAGGTCACCAAACATCCGAGGGCTGGAAACTAAGTGACCTTAATGGAAGATGCTTTGCCATTAGCCACAGACCTGCCGACTTTTAGGGGCCAGGTCTCCTGCTTCAGCCTGTTCCTCGAGGTTGGTGGTCCGAAGGCTAAAGCCGAGGGAGGAGCTGAGTCCCAGCCTTCCTGCATTCCTCCAGCTGATACTCTCCTTTGATATGTGGGAGTGTGGGTTAGGTTTCAGGTTGCAGAAGGGACATTGCCATACACTGACCATAAGCACGAGCTGGAGGAGCAGAACTGACATTGAACTGTGTGAGTAGGGAATGGCAGGACCTGCTGCAGCTTTGCTCCTATGTAAACTTTCTTAATTGGAATGATGGCTCATCAGTAATGGTGAAGTGTTAGCACTGAGTGGTGCTTGTTGGGCCAAGGTTGTTTTCTGTTGGTAGGGCTTAAGCACCCGTGTTTAAAACCTCTCTGTCTTGTTCTGTATCCAGTGTACACTGCCAGCAGCCTCCTCTGAGAGCTCAGGGACTCGGTGAGTGCACAGATTAGTTTGTTCCTCCAAGTCAGCATTAAGCTGCAGTGGGGAACAGTTTGGGGAAACTTGGAGAGCTTCTGGCTGTTCCAGGCTGTAGGGCTGTGACCATTTCAGTGCTGTTAAACTGACATTTCTCCCCAGAAGGAAGAGCCCTGTACTCTGCCGTGTTTCACTCTGGCGAGCCCACATGCGGCACAGGGATCAGATCCATTTATCTCCTGGGTTGGTCTGTAGAAGTCATTTGTGTTACTTCACCCTCAAAGTGATGAAACTAAGTTTGGGATTTGGCTGTCTGTCTGCAGAGGAGGAGGGGGGCAGAGGGAAGAGACATTTCTCTGCGAGTCCACCGTGCAAGCCAAGAGCTCTGTGGGAAGGTCCAAGCTAATGCTCCCCACTGGCTGCCTTGGCTCCGGCTCACGCCAAGCCCTTGCAGCAGACTAGACACAAAAGAAAACACACAGAGTCTAAATTCATTGGTATGAGGAGGATGTGCCAGAGTATTCCACAGCTCTTCCTTTTCTGCTTCTCTTTGATAGCTGTCAATTTACATAAAGATATGGATTATGAAGGGGTTTTTTAACCTGTTTAAGCATAATTCAGGCTGCCCTGTGCCTGACCTGAGAATCTGTTCTGAAGCTTGCTAAATGCTATTGAAAGATTCCCCATGCCCTTGCTGGGCTGTAGGTAAGACAGCACAGACTTAGAACTGGCTTTATATCCATAGGAGGGGATTGGGTAGGAGAGAGAAATCCATGCCGGAGCATGTTTGAATTCTTGTTTGCCTCCAGTAGCACTGTCCACCTTTTTGTGATCTCAGTGGGAATTTCAGTGTTGGAGGGTTGCTGGCTTGTCTGCACCCCAGAAATTTGTTGCCACTGTTTGGGTGTGAACACAGGATGTTTTCTATACTGTGAGGTCCTTGATTTCACTCTGGAACTAGTGGGGGATTGAAAGAACAGTTTTATAAATCACTTGGAGAGGGTTCATTGTCTGACCCCTTCTGTGGCCATCCGTACCTTCAGCTCAGAGCAGCTTCTTGCCCAGCAGCATCCTGCTGATGAGTGTGGAGGGAGGCCTGTCTTCTCCCTGTCTCTGCACCTCCCAGCCCTGCTCTACATTGCCTGGTTCCCTATCATCCTTCAAGCATGGATCCTCAGCCCTCTATTCCCTCCATCTTGTCCCATTCCTTAGTTCATCCCTGTCCAGACCTGCTGTTCTGCTTCTCCTAGCCCTGTTGGTGACTCTCCACATCTCAAGCTGGGATGGCCACAAGCCATGGACCTGGGGCAGCACCAGCTACCACCAAACC